TTTGTATGGTCCAGGTGTAGTTTGTATGGTCCAGGTGTAGTTTGTATGGTCCAGGTGTAGTTTGTATGGTCCAGGTGTAGTTTGTATGGTCCAGGTGTAGTTTGTATGGTCCAGGTGTAGTTTGTATGGTCATTAAAACTTGTTGGTACCTCTTCTTCCTCAGTTTAATGGTTTCAAACTTTTTGTTTTTCTCTCAGAGTCTAGGTGAACAAACCAGATGTGTAGTTGTACGGTTATGGTAGCTGAATTTAAATAGTTACGCACACATGAGCAATCAAGGAAATAGTCAGGTTGGGTACACAGGTGAGGTGTGACCACATACCTTCATACACAAACGATGTGTAATCATCATCATATTGACACACAACAAGCACAAACTTCCTGAAACAGCCACCCTGGCTATCTTTTTTTGTTCCCGCCCTGCGTTAAGGTTCACACCCTGGAGGTTTTCCAGAAGGAGCTGAATGAGAGCGAGCACCTGGTGTTCCAGGCGCTACACAGCCTGCAGAGGGCGCTGCAGGGCGACTACAGGGACGTGGTCAACGTGAAGGAGAGCAGCAGGCAGAGGCTGGAGGCCCTCAGGGAGGCAGCCATAAAGGTATAACTGTCTGCAGCGGCGATCGTTTACATACAAGATGGCCGCCGCAGCTTCATTTGGTGAAAACCTTTCAGGAGGAGCAGGAGTACGTGGAGCTGGTGGCTGCAGAGAAGCATCAGCAGGAAGCYGTGAAGACCGCTTTGGCCCGGAACAAGAGCCTGTCCATACTGGACGAGATTCTGGAGGATGTCAGGAAGGCAGCAGACCGGCTCGAGGAGGAGATTGAGGACCACGTGTTTGACTACAACAAACAGGTTCTACCTGCTTCRGTTTCTACATTCAGGAGGTCTCACCTGGGTTAGGTAGTTACGACTTTCCTTCTCCCTCCGTTGCGCAGATGAAAGGAGTGAACGTAGAAGCCGTGCTGAGGGTGGAGGAAGACGAGGAGAAAGGAGGAAAGGTGAAGAACAAGTCCAGGAAGGAGGAGGTGGAGGATGATCTGGGACTGAGCATGCTCATCGACTCGCAGAACAACCAGTACGTTCTGACCAAACCTCGAGACTCCACCATGCCGAGAGCCGACCATCACTTCATCAAGGTCCGTGTTTCCTCCAGCCAAGTGTTTTTAATCYGTTAAAATGATCCGGTGAGGACATTAACCCATAACTTTTACTGAAAAGTGTTTTTGTCCTTCATGTAAAGGACCTGGTGTCGGTGGTCATGCTGTCCCTGCCCTGCGGCTGGGTCTGCACCCTGGTGGGTCTTCCTCCAATGTTTGGATACATCATCTGTGGGGTCCTGCTGGGTCCTTCTGGTCTCAACAGCATCAAGGTGTGTTTTAGTGTCAGCACATCAGATCAGAACCTAAACGGTTATCAGACTACATGTGGTTCTCGTGTGGTTCCTGCAGTCTATCGTTCAGGTGGAGACTCTGGGGGAGCTGGGCGTGTTCTTCACCCTTTTCATGGTCGGACTGGAGTTCTCACCTGAACGCCTTCGAAAGGTAGATGAGAAAAACTTTAGCTTTACATCAAACAGTTGTTGCTAACTTCTCAGAGTTATGGCCGTTTTTGTTTTTTGCCAAGTTTGGGTCGTCAGGATGAGTTCGGGGGGAAAAAATAGAACTAGAAAAAAACACAAATAGAACGCTGAAGAAGCTAAAACTGAGTTGTTTAAGYTAAAAGAAGCAGAATGCGGGCTAGAACCTTMAAGTAGCAGAAGGCTAACTACRAGCTAAATGTAAAAAAATGTTTACTAAACTTAAAAAATATCACCAAGCTAGTACTAGCAGACTAGCGAAAAGTAGCAAAATGTTARCTTAAAGTGGAACGTTTTAAAAGGCCCAAAAAAGCTAAATACATCTAAAATATGATCTAAACATATCTAAAGGCTAGCTAAAAGTATTTTAAGTTTGCTAAAAGCCTAGCTAGTAGTTATAAGTAGGAAAAGGCCAGCTTAACACTAAAGSTAACTAAATGCTGGCTAAAATTAGCGAAAGGCTAGCTAAAGACTAAAAGTATCAAAAGACTGGCTCGGAGCTATGGATAGCTAAATGCTGACTAAAAGCTAAAAGTTGCCAAATGCTAGATAAAAGCTAAATATAAAATGCTAGGTAAAAGTACCAAAAGGCTAACCAAGTACAAAAAGTATCCGAAGGACAGCTAGGAGCAATGAGTATCAAAATGCTGGATAAAAGCTAAATGTAGATAAATGCTGATTTAAAGCTAAAAATAGCAAAAGGCTAGCTAGGAACTATGGATAGCAAAATGCTGGCTAAAAGTTTAACTAGCTAAATGCTGTCTAAAAGCTAAAAGTAGCAAAATGCTAGATAAMAGCTAAAAGTTAAATGCTGGCTTAAAGTAGCAAAATGCTACCTACGGATTAAAAGTATTAGCTAGGAGCTAGCTAATACTAGCTAGGATCTAAAACTAGCTAAATACCRACTGAACGCTAAAAGTAACAAATGCCTGATAAATTGAAAACTGGTGAAACACTAGATAAATCCTAGCCTGGTTAAAACCAGACCCTGTCCTTCACTTTGCTTYGTACAGAGGGTCTGGACTCGCTGCATAGAGAAGCGTTTCTTGCAGGAGGCGTGGCCTCTGCTGAACCATGTGTGTGTTGTCGCTGTGAAGGAGGCTAAGCTAAGAAGCTAACCGGAAATCGCGTGCATTGTAAACAACCCTACTGAGAGGAGAAATATACTGAGCCAAATGGGACGACTGTAAATGAGCTGCTGCTTTGTCAGACAAATTTAATTTAATTTGGAAGCCTTATCAACACAGACTGGCTTCATTCACTTCCTCCACTGCCGTATGCTAAACTAACTAGCAGACACTGCGCAGAACGTCGACGTCATTCAAAACTCCTCCTTCTGTTTGCTGATTGGCCCTGGTAAAATCAACTACAAGAGACACTGCGCAGAAAGTTGACGTTCTGTTCTCTGATTGGCCCGGCTAAAAATCTGCCAGTAAAATCCTTGTCTATGGGAGAAATCCCAGATGGAGCAGAGAAGGGAAACTAGAATTGAGCGGAGCTGCGTAGGAAGGCAAGGGCCAGGCTAGCTAAATCCCCAGCAGAAGCAAAAATCTAGCTAAAAACATACAGATTCATAAATTGATAGAAATGTAGCCATTTGGTTGAAGCAGATTTTAGAGAACGTTTTTTTTTAATTGAAGAGATTTTATT